CCCATCCAGGTACTGAGCAGGCTCACACCTGTGTAGCTTCAGTGGGTTGCCAGGTGTGAGTTGCAGGGTGACATGGCTGCTGGACATTGCAGAGAAACATCACTGTCAAAGTCTTCATGCCCTTTCTCTTTCGGTCTTCCTCACACCTCCGCAATGCGTTGCTGAGATATGGCAGTGGAACTGGCAGCAAAGGCTTTGTCAGCACAGTCTTTTTCCAAAGGCACCATTGATTTTGCCATTATAACTACAACTGCACTTAATATTGAATGAAAAGCATTAGGACTAAATGGGCGACATAAAGTCTCTCTGTTTTTACTTCCCATAAGGGGCTCATGAGCTTGGCTTGACGTGGCTGAGTCTTCCAGACTGTAAAATTAAGGGGCAAAAAAGAAAGAGAGAACAAAAGCAAAAAAAAATGGAAATAGGCTGTTAGGGAAGCTCTCCTGCTAACAGAATTAATCCTGCAGCAGACTGGCGCTGTGTTTCAGAACAACTATCAAAAAGAAAAGGTCTAATTCTGATGACTGAGGACGCAGGTATAAAAAATGCAATGTGTTTTTCCTTTAGATTGAGAAAATGCACTGGAATGTACAGTATGTGGAATTAAAAAATTCAGAGCAAGTTTTGCCTTTAGTAACATGGCAAATAATATTTAAATAATCAGTGTAAATAACACAACCCCAGATTTCTGCAGTGTGTGTTTGTTTACAGCAGGCCAGGAGCACAGAAATCATAAGTGTGCAGTAAAATTGGTAATATGCCAGGTATGGGGGTCTGCAACGTGCCTGTAGCACTATAAATGCCTTGCCTTCCCAGGATGCCCTTGTGCACCCATGGTGGCAAATTCACCAGATTAAGCATGGTGCTGTAGTTCAATTAAATTGCCCCACATCCCTGAATAATTCATTTAAACATCTTCCACAGGAAAAAAAAAACATCTGATGAGCAGAGAGCAGAGGAAACAACATCTGACGGGCCGGAGTAGATGGGAGAGGAAGTTCATTAATTTTTCATGGCCGAGACTGGGGCTGTGCTTTGCGGCTTCATATTCACTCTGTGAGCTCTAACCTTGCTGCTGCTCCTGTTTGAGGGCTCCTTCTTGCCATCTGTTTGTTCTCGGGCCGTAAGCAGCTCCTTCCCCCCTTCACGCCAGGGAAGGGGGTGCAGGAGAAGTAGCCAATCGGAGAGCACAACTCCACCAAGCTGAATTTTTGGAGGTGACATCTCTGAGGCACGAGCTTTTGATTGCTGGCAGCAGATTGAGTCACTTTTAAATCTCCCCCCCGAGAAGGGCTCATCCACTGAGAAGCTTTGCCCTGGCACTAGCAGGCATGTTGTATCTGATCAGGGAGAATCAGAACGATCTAATGATTGAAGCCTGTTGTGAAAGCAAGCTGGCGTTAAATGTCATGGAAAACTACGCTTGAAGTAAATCCAACAAGCAAATTGACCAGGGTAAAACTCTAGAAGGGCTGGCCACTGAATGTCTAATGGCATTTAAAAAACAGCTGCCACTTCTGTACCCAAAGGGTTGTGGGGGTGTGGAACAAGCTGTCCGGCCATGTTATTGAAGCCGATAGCCTGGCCTCTTTCGAAGAACGGCTGGAGAAGATCCTTAGACCAATTACAGTAGCTTCTTGCAGAAGAAGCTACAAGATGGACTGAAACTTTCTCACATAATCTTATCTTTCCCATTCTCCCCTCAAGGCTGAAGGCAGCACACACAGACGTACAGCTCCGCCACACACTTTAACCTTCACCTCATTGCTGTGCTCATGTCTTCATCTGCTTTATTGGGAGGAGGTTAGCAGTGGCTCTGTGTGATTTGCTGCTCAATGAGGCAGAGAAGTGACACCCAGAAGAAGGCCAGTCGACTGTGTGCGTCAGTTCCATCAAGGGCAGCAGAGACGTCAATAAGCTTTACAGCTCAGCCAGTCAGGCTGCGATAACTGTCAGCCTGATGCTCCACGTGTTATGATGTACAGTGTGAATTAAGATGGGATTTCCTGGATGTGTCTGAGATCAAAGAACAGACATCAATACTACGCAACAGACTTCACGCAACACTAAAAAAGAGTTGCTTTCACACCATGATGGCCGACTGGTTTGTTGAGTGCTGACCTGTGAAATGCTATTAACTTTATTAATTTCAGGCTGTTGAGCACCAGCTAACAGGTCGAATATCTATATCTTTGCATACCTCAGTACCCTTTTATTTAAAGAAAATGCATTTTAGCACTGATGCATAAGTGCAGAGATGCATTTTAGGTTGACATGTTAAAACTAGGTTCTCTAGAACTCTGATAGAATGCAAAGAAGGCAGTTCAGTTGGGATGTTGCTTTGGTCCCCAGCATCGCAAGCAGGACATGCTTCCCAAGCAGGTCTGACCTGCCTGTAGGGTTGGGGCTCGGGTTTTGCGCTTCGGTCACGCTGTATCACCCAAGTGTTGTTCCGATTCCTCACGGCAGAGGGCGCTCAACTCACGTTTCGTCTGGAGAAGACCGATCACAGCCGCCCTCCGCATACACAGAAAAACAGACTAACACAGCTGCAGGGGACTTTGCAAGTTCAACATTTCTGTCCAACACAGGCCTCTACAGACATTGCACTTTATTAGAGAAGTCCAGTGTTTGGTCCAAGCAGTGTCCCAAGCCCCCGTCTCTTCACCCTGTGTTTGAGTGTGGGTGTTGTATTACACATTTCTGTTCTTAAGACCCACCTGAATCAAATAAAATTAATAATGGAATGGAGCAACATTCACTGTCAGTTGTAAACCTTTCTCTTCTACAGATCTAGGACCTATCACATACTGTATGGTTACTGTATGGGTTAGCTTATGATATTCAGTTTGTGGTCCTTTTAACAATGTCCTGGCTAGGGAAATGTAATGAAAACAGTGTTAAGGCAGTGTACAATGTTGAGGAAAACCACTGAAACAGTGCGCAATGTTGTTGGTCAGACGTTACACTTTCTCATGCCCTACGTACCTAACCCGTCTGCTTCTGTTTATTGCCCACAATGCTCATTGTTTTGATGTGTTTTTCAAGTACATACTTGTGAGTACAGCTAGTACACAAGTACAGCTTGTGAGCCCTGCTCAGACATGTGGAGGAGAGCCTGTGGAGCAGCTGGTGTCCTGCAACAGTGAGGCCTAAGCCAGGGTCACCTGTGTCAGCCACAGCACCGCCTGCCCGGTGTACATGTATTAATATCCCCCATTACAGCGCTTCTGTCTGCGTCAGGAAAGTCACGCAGGGCGAAATAAATCAGCCTAATAGAGCGATGTAACAGCAATATTTGTTTAGCTGAGTAATTGCTCCCATGCTGGTCATTTGCAAGACAGACAATCTAACTATCTCCAGTCTAGTGACAAACAGGTCTCTGCGACGACACGGCATTAATATGTGGAGTATTTTTAATTGATTGGCAGTGTCAGCACAGTGATGCTCAGTTATTAGCTTTCTTTCCAGGGATTATATCTTTTTTTTTTCCTTACCAAACCTGGAGAAATGTTTCAGGTCGTTCTGGTGCAATGTCCACCTTCCAGTACAGAAACGGAAGCGGCTTGTCTTGTCCTGTGTGAACCTGATTCGGGACGGGACGGGACGCGCTCTGGGCTTCTGGACAGCCTGTTCAACACCCTCCTCCCTCGCTCATAAATAACGAAACACAAGTAATCCGTTCTGACTCTGCATAATGTTCATTGACCTCCATATAGGCCACAAAAGGTCCTTTCTTTCCCAAAGAGCCTGGAATCTGTTTAATATCAAAAAAAGGTTGAAAACAACCAGACCAGATGAGGAAATCTCTACGCTACCTGTCTGCAGGAGCTGCCTCAGGACACAGGCTGAGTGTAATTGTCACGTCCTCTGCAGCCAGAGGGCGCTCCTTCTCTGTCCTGTCTCTTGTTTCCGATTCTTTGCTGTCCTTTCGGTGTTTCTCTCTCTCTGGGTCTATATATTTCTGGGTCTTTCATTTGCCTTCGCTCAGCAATGACGTTCGGATGTCCTGAGACCCGCCTAGCACCAGGTCGCCCCACGTCCGCTACCTGAGGGAATAGGTTTCTATACCGCATTTCCTGAACAGCTGAGCCCGGTCTAACCCCCGTCTCGCCGCTACGCATAGGGTCTTTTCGCTCTCCTGCCATTCTACGGTTCGTCCTTTCCAACATCCGTGACAGTAATGGCATTGTACTGCAGAGACAGTAGGTCATTCTACTGTAACATCAGCACACCACCACTAAACATTGAACAAATACCTGTTAGCTGTAACTACATGTTAATTACACTGCAAAGACTGGCTTATCAATGTTTCTCCATTATTAATACACCACTTCATATTTCAGTCCAAAGAGCAAATCTGAAAACCTGCAGCAGACGTGCAACTTTTAAAACTATTTCACAAGAACAAAATCAGTCTGGAAATGCCAGAAAAGCAGAAAACTTTATCACAATCAAAGACAAAAGATAAATGCAAACATTTCTTTGCTGTAGCCTGAAGTAAGCAGATAGAATATGACAATGCCTAGAAATAAGTGGATGATTGAAAAAACATACTGCAGCACCTTCAAGTGTGTGGAAAATGTTACTGCAGTCCAAAACAACATTAACTGTATTTTCACGGATCGCATGAAAATGTTTTTCAGATTGCACAGACACAACTTAAATAGTCACACATTCAGATGCCGATTGATGCAGTCAGAAATCAGTTTACCTTGTCTTCAATAGTACAACTTGTGTGATCATTTACAAAAAAAAAACATCCTCTTTTACTGTTGGTTAGGTTTGAACATAATCTGTTACAAAACTAAGACATTCTAATAAACTGAATAAACTATAGGATTGGACTATTCCTAAAAAGCTTAAGAACATATCAGCTAAATATCAAAATAACAGTAACATCATCACTAACTTTCTAGGTACGTGTATCTTTATTCCTGTTGAAATGTAATGCTTTTTTGCTTTGATTATTTTTAAAAGAGAAAATAATACAATCTGGGGAAAAATAAAAAACCTATCACTGATTTTATTTTTGCAAGGGGGAAAATCAATAATAGTTGAAGAAACAGCTTCCCACTTTCAGAAAGTTTGAAATTAAAAGATGGTGGTTCACCCTAATGAAAATAACCTCTTTCAGGTAGGCTTCAGCGAATCCTCTGAAAGTCATGATCTCAATACATTTATCTCCACATTCAGTTTACACAGGAGCATGACCACCTTCTAGCCCAGCCTTGTCAGGATCTCAACAGCAAAGCAAGGCTGGGTCTGTTCAGTGCTGGGAAGGGTGGCTTGGGTACTGCAAGTGCTGTTGGTAGACCAGTAGGTGGTGCTCTTTCCCTAGAATCAGAATTTCCACACCTGTTTGGTTACAGGAAGTGTTGTCCCCCGGGTGACATGTTACGCCAAGCTCTGATCATCACTCACTGATCATTAAAGATCTCATGGCACATGTTTCATAAAAGCAGGGTTATTAACCTTGTTCAAACTAGCCTGCATTAAGATCCACCTACAATCAACTGGCAAAGCAATTCTTTACTTTTCTACCTGATCTGCTGTGTAGTGGGGCTGCAGCAGGTCACCCAGGTGGGAACTGAATTGCAGTGATAGATGATGTTCATTCTCTACTATGTGTAAAGTGATCTGTGATTCTTTGGGATGAAAAGTGCTCTTTTGATCTCATTGTAAAAGAACACAAATTGGTCAAAACAGTAGGCAAGTAAACAAATATCCATCCACTTTTTCATCCAGTACAGCATTGCAGGGAAGCTAGAGCCTAACCTGACAAGCAACAGACACAAGGCGGGAAACACACTGGACAGGACACCAGTCCATGACAGGGCACACGTAGACACAAACACACACAGCAGGGCCAGCCAACCTACCGGTATGTCTTTAGACTGTGGGAAGAAACTGGACCACCCAGAAGAAAGCCACACAAACAAAGGGAGAACATACACACTTTATGCTGATACCACCCCAGGAGCTGAACCCAGCACTGCAAGACAGAGATGCTAAAACTGCACCACCATACAGCCCTAAACAAATATTAACAATGTTACTATTAAATTCCCCCACAGTGAATTTAATCACTAAACTTTGTATGTTGTAGTGCTAGGAATTGGTTTTCTTTTTTTAAAACTGGAACACGCAGAAGCAGGTAATGTGGTACAGAAAGCATGATGAGAGTTGTCCACAGTGCTCCATCCGATCTGCTCTGGATGCACGGCTGCCTCAGAAATTTTCTTTGTAGAATTTAAAGCCGGACTGTTCGCAGTGAGCCTTTATGAATTTTGCAAGAGCTGGAGAACCACAGAAGAACACGTGGACTTTCCCCTTTTTCTCTTCAGCGACCTTCTGAAACACCTGTTTCGCACCACGAAAATGAATAGATGCAAAAAGATGAAAAAGGCTTGTTGCGAGAACGTTTGAAATGCAAACACAGCAAACATAATCTGGATTTTCAAGTTGAATGGACGTCTTTAAAAAAACATCCCGGCTACATCAGCTATTTCATCCTGTGTGCAATGAGTTCTTAAAAATCACTAGCTCGGAAATGACAAAAAAAAAACTTACAAATGTGGTTGTGTTTGAAGCTTCTGAGTAAAATTTCAAACTATGGGATCTCAAAAGAGCACCACTTTCTAAACAATGAGGTTTCAGCTCCCTCTGATGGTAACTTAACAGAACTGCAGCCTAGTTCCTGATCTATTGTCAAATAGTCCAGCTTGTGTTGAGTGCCCTTCTTTATTACCTTAAATCTGATTCCTCACCCTCCCTCCCTCCCCCTTTCAGAATCTCTAAGGTTTGGTTCATGTGCTGTGAGATATACTGTTGCAAAAATGTCTCCATCTTACCCCATAGATCCTGTTGCCTGGGTCTTTGACTGGTTTTGCTGGTTCTTTACTGTGAACTATCCGCGATACAGGTGCTATCCAAGTGTAAGCTGCTGTTCCTGTTACCTTGATCTGGCCCTACCTTGCCCCAGTTGGGCCGACCCGGTTGGGTCCGTGTCCTGAGCCCAGTGATGGAGTCTCTCTTCTCCTTCTTGGCCAGCAGGTCCAGGGCCATCTGCAGCCCGATGGCCTTCATGTCGTTCTTGCTGAGGGCGGAGGTCATGTACATGTGCATCTCCAGGAAGCGGCCTGCCATTCGCCCAGAGACAGACACACACCAGCTCAGAGGACACCTGAGGCTCGCTTCGGTCATTTTCTGGTTTCAAAGGAGCAAGCAAAAGTTGTCTCCGGCCCTTATTTCAAACGGGGCTTGGCAAGCAGGAGGCATAGACACAGGCCTCACATCTGGTGGGCAGGCCTGGTACTTGAGTGCTGCATATCTTTCCATCCCTAAACTCTAATGCCTTAACTGAGCCAATGTGGTGGATAGGAAGTCAGATTGGCTGAGTTTTCCAAGTGCAAACTAATAGGTACATTTAAAACCAACAAGAATCCAGCACTCATGGACCAGGGCTGCCCAACCCAGTATCTAGGAATTGTTTTACTTCAAACATTGTGCGCTCATGAAATAAACTGACTGGGATCTTTTGAAATGAGTTGGGGTAGAAAACCAGCCAGTTGCAGTGAGCTGTTATTTTTCTGGGATTTTCTTGTGGTTTTATGGAAGGCAAAGCCTCCCCCTGGCTGCAGGCCTGATTCACAGGGTGTGAACTGACACTGGCTGAAATCGCTCAAATTCTAGCCACACATCTCTCTTTCTCTCCTGACTCTCTCCTTTTCTCTCCCCTGGCTACCTCTTTCTCTCTGCCCTGACTCTGTGCTGAAGAGGGAGCTGTTTCAGGTTTTTGGAGGTTAGCAGCTGCCCTTCCCTGTCAGCTCTCCTCAGGCAGTCAAGGACTCTATCCTCTGCTGCCGCAGTTAGAAAATGAGGATGTCCAGTGTTATTTAGGAGATTCCTCATTCCTTGTTTGACTGCAGGCTGAATTCGAAACATTTCTTGCCACCCAAAGTTCGCTCTCATTTTTTCCCCTTTCAGAACAATAGAAAACAATTAAGTGAGGTGGGAAATTATTGTCTGCTATAGGCAGTGCCCTCCTGTCCCACGACAGAGAGAGGGAAACACGTCCACCAAAAACACAAAAGTAAAATTTTTGCCTGCTTTGTCGATTTCAAAAAAGCATTTGACTCGATTTGGCATGAAAGATTGTTTAACAGACTACTCCAAAGTGGCATAGGGGGCAAAGTGTATGACATAATTAAATCAATGTAGTCAGAGAGCAAATGTGCAGTGAAAATTGGAAACAAAAGGACTAAATTATTCACCCAAGGCCGTGGGGTGAGACAGGGCTGCAGCCTGAGCCCAACACTGTTCAATATCTATATCAACAAATTAGCAGGAATGTTGGAGCCGTCTGCAGCTCCTGGTCTCACACTACACGACACAGAAATCAAGTTCCTGCTCTACGCAGATGACCTGGTCCTGCTGTCGCACACAGAACAGGGGCTGCAGCAGAGCCTGGCACTGCTGGAGCAGTACTGTCAGACCTGGGCACTGACAGTCAATCTGGACAAGACCAGAGTTATGGTTTTCCAGAAGAAAGCCAGACCTCAGGGAAACAGGTACAAATTCACACTGAACAACAACACATTGGAGCACACATCCAGCTACACATATCTCGGTCTCACCATCAGCTCTTCTGGGAGTTTTGACCTGGCAGTGAAGGCACTGAGGGAGAAGGCACTCAGGGCTTTCTACGCAATAAGAAGGAGGCTCTTCAACATCAACCCACCAACAAGAATCTGGCTCCAAATATTTGAAAGTGTAATCCAACCCATTGCCCTATACGGCAGTGAAGTGTGGGGTCCCCTCACAAACCAGGATTACACTCAATGGAACAAACACCCAACAGAAACTCTGCACATGGAGATCTGTAGAAACATCCTCCGTGTGCAGAGAAAAACACCTAACAATGGGTGCAGGGCCGAATAAGTCCAGTATCCACCATTGATAAACATACAGAAAAGAATATTAAAGTATTGGCTACACCTAAAAAACAGCGACCAACATTCCTACCACCAGAAAGCCCTGCTGAGTCAATAACTGAGCCCAAAACAGAGCCCCCTGAGCCAGCTGGTCCTGAGGTTCACTGGCCTGAGCCACACCGACGTTAACCAGCCTCAGGACAGCACCGCTAGAGCACCACAAACCAGACTCAACCACATCACAGCACAGATCAAACAGCAATATCTCACACACTGGGACACACACACAAACACAACATAAACTGGAATGCTACAGAACCCTAAATAGACAATACACAGTAGCTGAATATTTGACCAAAATAAGAAACAACAAACAGAAACAGACCCTGACGAAGTACAGGCTCAGTGACCACAGCCTGGCCATAGAAACTGGGCGACACAGGCAGACCTGGGTGCCCAGAGAGGACAGACTGTGCTCCCACTGCCAGCGGGGAGAAATAGAGACAGAGGTGCACTTCCTACTGCACTGTGACAGATACTCTGGGATTAGAGAAACATTCTTCCCGAAATTCAGAAATCTAATCCCAGAGTTCCCACACCTGCCAGAATCACAGCGGGTCCCATTCCTACTGGGAGAGGGAGGAGGGAACTCAGTTGAACTGGCAGCCCAGTATGTGATCTCCTTTCACAGCCTGAGGAACAGTAAGTCTGTCTCCCAATAATGCTCCAGCCGCCTACAGTATATGTCAATATTTTATAATAATAAATGTCTGTAATACAGTATGTCTGTAGATTTTATTTTACTTCTCTTTTTTGTTTTGTTTAATGTAAATATCATTACTTTCATTTGCTTTGGCAACACTGATTGTACCCATCGGTCATGCTTATAAAGCACCTTGAATTGAAAAAAAAATTGGGTCTCCCCTGAGCCTCTCATTCCCTCTGCCCTGACTCTCTCTTTCTCTCTCCCCTGACTCTCTCTTCCTCTCTCCCTCTCTCCCCTGACTCTCTCTTCCTCTCTTCCCTGACTCTCTCTTCCTCTCTCCCCTGACTCTGTCTTTCCCTCTCACGTGACTCTCTCTTCCTCTGTCCCCTGATTATCTCTTCCTCTCTGCCCTGACTCTCTCTTCCTCTCTCCCCTGACTCTCTCCTCCTCTTTGCCCTGACTCTCTCTTCCTCTCTGCCCTGACTCTCTCTTCTTCTTTCTGTCACCTTCTGGCTCCTCATCTGCCTGGTCCATCTCTAGTTTGGTGAGCAGACTCACAAACCACTCAAAGGACCTCTGGTCCCGATTGATCCAGATGAAGTCCACCTGAAACAGCCACACAAGCGAGTGATGAGGAGCAATTGCAGTCCTGTTTTTCAATAAAGGTAGAAGATCAATAAATAACTCAAATTACATCTTTTAAATTAAGATAGTATGAAACAGTGTCAGGCTTAGGGTTAGGATTTGGGTGAAAATAAGTATTGGATTTAAGATTTGTTATGCTAATGTGAAGGTTATGTTTTGCAAACAGGGTAGTTACACTGGGGTTAAGTTTAGGCTATGATTTAAGATTTATGATTAGATTTTGGGTCGATGATACATTAGGATTCGTTTTTAATTCATTTGATTATGATATCATGTGAGGATATACATGCCTACATGCATAAGATATTGTTTTTTTCTTTTTTCAGTAACGATTCATACAGCAGGGCACAGAACTGAGCACACAGCAAGATAAATGACTGGACACACAGCAGGGCGCACAGTTATATAGTAATATAGTGTAGGTAGGTAATATAGTCGTACGCTTTGAGTGTGGTATGGTTCATCAATCTATATTTAAAATTATTCAAGCATTTTTTTAAAGGAAACTGAAGATGCCCTTCTGTATGTGTCTTTGTTTTATTGTAAAAAACAAAGGTTATATAGACTACTAAAGAATAATGTAACAAAAACCAATAAAATAGATGCCTTGCCTTTCTCAGTTTCATTTCATTGTCTTTCAGATTCTCACACCAGGAATAGTTACAATTTGGGCAGTTCTGTTTCCTCATCCGATACCTTAAATAATGTTTCACAACAAAAATGTCTTCATTAAAATCAATATTAATTTCTGTGTACAGTGTGCAATGCTGGTATGTGCTGTATTGATACAGTGTCAGTGTGCAATGCACGTATGCAATGTAGTTACACACAGCCCCATACTGTTTGAGTGTACAGTGTCAATATACAGTGTACAGCGAAAGTATCAGTGTACAGTTGCAGAGCCAGTATCCCTTGTAAGTACATTGTGTACAGTGTGTTTGTTTCAAGTGTACATTAATAATAATCATCATGATCATTTGTACAGTGTCAGTTCAGTGTACAAATGTACAGTGTACACTGCTGCATGCAGTGTGATTTAAAAATAATAATCATATCTGTATAGTGGCAGTGTGTACAGTGTGTATCAATAACAATCATCATCTCTGTGCAGATGTCAGTGTGTGCAGTGTATTAATAACAATCGTCATCTCTGTGCAGATGTTAGTATGTACAGTGTGTATTAATAACAATCATCATCTCTGTGCACATTAGTGTGTGCAGTGTGTATTAATAACAATTGTCATCTCTGTGCAGATGTAACCGTGTACAGTGTGTATTAATAACAATCTGTGCAGATGTCAGTGTGTGCAGTGTGTATTAATAACAATCATCACCTCTGTGCAGATGTCAGTGTGTACAGTGTGTATTAATAATGATCATCATCTCTGTGCAGATGTAAGTGTGTGCAGTGTGTATTAATAACAATCATCTCTGTGCAGATGTCAGTGTGTACAGTGTGTATTAATAACAATCATCATCTCTGTGCATATGTCAGTGTGTGCAGTGTGTATTAATAACAATCATCATCTCTGTGTAGACGTGTGCAGCATGTCTTCTCAGTGAACACAGTCTTGTCCTGTCTCACCGGTACATGATGCTCTGCAGGATGGAGGCGAAGGGGGTTATCCCAATGCCGGCTCCGATCAGCACGGCATGTTCCGATGCGAAGATCTGCCGGGTGGGGGTCCCGTATGGACCATCCACATAGCACTGAGGAACACAGCAGGACACAGCATCACTTATACACTTTGCACAGCAATCTCTCAAGAACAAGGCACACAGGGTGGTTTCAATACAGCAGCACAGAGAAAGTGGGAAAAAGCACAGAACTGAAATAATATCAAGTATTTGTAAAGCAACTTTATAAAACAAAGTATATAACACTTCAAATTATCAATGTGAATTCTGACTGAACATATCTTTTTAAAAATCCAATGTTACTAGTGACTCCAAGTTATTATTGTTACACAAAGTCATTTGATAAATGTTAATAAATCCAGTGAAGTTTGTGCAGACTACAACAGGTGAGCATTACAGTTCAACTACAGCGAAGATCCCTAACCCTGATCCTGGAGAGCTTCAGACCAGTACATTTTATAGGTCACCATTAATCACAAATTTCTACATTTCCAATTTCTTTGTCATTATTTATGTAAGTGATTTGTTAAAATAAATAATTGAGAAATTATTTTGCACTAAAATCGAAATGCCCTTGGCCTTGAAGGACTGGAGTTTTAATTTAAACAGAGTACATGCTTAATACTTCAATAACGCACGGGTGTTCCCAATTTCTAGAAAGAAGTGACCTATAAGAATGGCTGAACCGGGGCAGAACCCAGCCAGGGCCAGGGTTGGAGACCCCTCAAATATCTTACCTTTATGTTACAAAATCGCTGGTTTTCGTTCACTTTTGCTGAGATCTATGATTAGAAAAGAGACATATATGAACATTGAGTAAGGCTATCACTTGTTTTTACAATAAAGACGGTATATGAATACAACAAAGAAACGCGATAATCAGGACGTATGATCAAAATAGCTGATTTTTTACACATGTAAAAACTGTAATGAATGACCCCTGCTGGAGAAGTATGTTTAGTGTATAAAGGCACATAAAATAAACCAGTGGCTGAGGGAGATTGCTGTAGGCAGCCGGTGGTCATCTGTTCTAAAGGGATGGCAGCTGTTGCAGTATACATAAGCTATACCCAAGCTGACCCTTTTCTGGGTTGGACCTTGTTTTTGGACCACAGCAATCACAACAGGCAAGTCCTCATTCAGTCCAGGCCAGACCCACCTCTCGGAGCTGGGGGACCTCCCCATGCTCCAGCTGCGCCAGCTGATCAGCAGGGGGGTCGGTCGGGCCAGGAGGAGAGCTGGACCTGTAGGACATAAGCTCGATGGCATCATCCTTGTTGGATGCCACCGTCCCGTTGCAGCCCACAGAGTTGAACAGCTCTTCCTGCAGGAAGGAAGCAAGAACACATGGAGTCACACTTCGCGCAATCGTAACGCCCTTTTGCAAAGAATATCTGAAGGCAAAATGAGTGACCTGTGTGGTTCTTTGGTGGTGTCGGTTTCTCAGACTCCTGGTCAGTCTCTTGGCAGAGCAGTGCTGGGGCTCCAGCTGCCTGAAGTATTCATATAGCCTGTTGGTCCACTGACCCATTGATCGAATGTGAAGCCACAGTGTGTCTTTAAAAAAACACAGGGGACTCAGCCTGGACAGGTACATTCCTGGCTCACATAGCATGTTGTCGGTCAGTCTTACCTTGCTGCTCTGGAGCACTGCTGATGGTAAAGGGGTGCCACTCGTATTTGGCAATCACAGGTATGTTGATGTATACATAGTCTCCGGGTTTAAACTGGAAGAACTGTGGCCTCTTAATCACCAGGTGTGTTACCTATAAAACCCAGAGGTGATGCGAGAATCATTCGCTGTTTACTGTTTAGTTTATGGCCTGATGAATACAATTAGACAATTTCTCTGAAAGATCATAACTGTACAACAATAAGAAAAGGCAAGGGACTGTTCAGAAAGATGTGAGTTTAGTCATGAAGAGGCATGATTTTATAATGTATCAGGCCGGTCCAGGAAAGTATGGATGTGGACGTGCAAGGACTGAGAATAAAAGGCACGCAGATATCAGGCACAGACCAGAAGGTGTCCATAGGCAATACTCTTCTGGAATACTACCATTCCAAAATAAACTGAACATACTATTATCGAAAAATGGGAGAGAGGTAAGAGTATTCTTGAGTGTTTTTGCTTTGGTTTATGTTGAAAACAAATTCACAAACAATGATGAAGAAATTACAGTCATCCACCCTTCAACAGAAAGCTCCTTATTCCTGGTAAGGATTGTGGCAACCCAAAGTCTAACCAGAAAGTAAAGGGGACAAGGCAGAATTATGCCCTGGACACACCGCAAACAATTTTGAAACACCAATTAGCCTATCCTGCATGCCTTTGGTAGGTGGTAGGAAACCGGATCACCAAGAAAAAACCCATGTGGCCACCTGAAAATGTCCCAGGCAGGAGTTGAGCTCAGGACCCAGAGTTGTGAAGCACAGTGACAAGCAGAGCCCACCCAGATGTAGGAAAGAGGCATCTCAGGGTAAACAGACAAGAGCTCCTGTTGAACATTGATAGCAACCCAGAGCTGTGAGGCAGGAGTATCTCTGTGCTGCCCAGAATTGCCTTATTGGAAAATTGTCTAAATATATTCATGATGCCATAAACTCACATACATAATACAACAAACCCTACAGCAAGTAGGGAACTGGAGATCCTGGCCATGACCAGACATGCAGAGGACATCGCTCACCTTCGAAGGCAGCAGGTTGACTTCCACGATGTAGAGTCCTCCCATGCGTGACACCGCGATGCCCACCAGCTTCTCCAAGAGGAACACCAGCCCGGGGACTGCAAACCACTTCCAGAAGTTGGCACAGTGCACGACAAGCAGGGCCCACACCCAGATGTAGGACAGGTGGGTCCAGTAGAAAACCTCAGGGTGAACACATGAGAGCTTCCGTCGGACAGTGAGTGGCCAAAGGCACAGAGAAGAGAGCCTGCTGAGAGGGAGACTCACACACATATTAGATCACAATCAAGACATGGTGGACATTGCTTAGTTTCTACATATGAAACTATAATACATTGCAGAACATAAAGCTCCTGTACATTGCATTGCTTTTTTGCAGTGTCAGCTTAGCCTTAGAAGCTTAGAAGGTAACAATGCTACACAGTCTACATTCTGATCAGCATAAACTAACCCACTTCACACGTGCAGCAGTGGTGAAATCCTCACATCTTCTTCTGAGCCAGTCATTGTACACCAGTCCATCACTTCACAAGACCACACCACCAACACCACCACGAATACGCTACTCCACAGGGCACAGCCTGAGAGAGCTGCCATACTCCACTGTAACAGCACGGTTCATTTAAAACACACAATTACATCGTGTGCATAATAAAGTTGGAAATGTCCAGAGGGTGCGAGAGAGAGGGAAAGAGCTAACAATGACAGCAGTAGTCATAGCAGCAGCAACATTAGTAACTGCTGCAACACCAGAAGCAGCAATAACTGTCAAACTAATCACCGCTCAGGGAGCTGCTAAAGCGAAGTTAAATTTTAACATCCATCCTGAGGTGATGTGGAAGGGACATTTGAACTCTTGGAAAATAGGTGTCTGACTAGTGCATCTCCATTGTGCAAGCCAGTGATCATTAAGATTTACACAGCAATTTGAATTTTCATCACTTTAAAGGTTGTGGGTTAAACAAAGTTATATTCACAGTTGAAAGGGGTTTGTTTTTACAGCTTTGAGGTTTTTGTTATTGCCTTGAGATCTTGAGATGTTTGTGAGGGCTTGTATATTTGTGATACTTTTACATCACTGCAGGGGTGTTACCCCGGCGTCCTGGCCAAATTTCCCATTGGCCCCTACCAATCATGGCCTCCTAATAATCCCCCTCTATGAATTGGCTTCATTACTCTGCTCTCCTCCCCACTGAGAGCTGATGTGTGGGGAGCGTTCTGATGCACTATGGCTGCCGTCGCATCATCCAGGTGGGGCCGCACATTGGTGGCGGTGGAGGGGAGTCCCCATTACCTGTAAAGCGCTTTGAGTGGATTGTCCAGAAAAGCGCTATATACTGTAAGTGTAAGCAATTATTATTATTATTACTACTAAGCCTAACAAGAGCCAGAACTCCAAATAGGCCAACACTGGAAGATAACTGCAATCTGGACCTCATACTCTCTGAATTTAAGCCTGTAAAACACAACTGTGGCAGGCATTTAACTCAAGGTTTAATAGTACTGCTAACCCTAGCTCCATCCAAAAAACAAAACACTTGTTTTAAAGCAGGCTCAAAAGAAGAATTCATGTTTAAGGCACAAAATCTGACCTTTTGAGAATAAATATTGCGGTGAAAAAGGATTGCGGTGACATTTAAGCACTGGTGCAATATATTTGTAATTAGTTCAGCTCACTGTTGGACGCCAGTGAGGGTAACTGGGGTCTGACCTGGACTAGTTTTCCAGTTGCATGAGGGTTCGGGTTAGAGTTGAATTCATGTTACACGGCCAACAAAGTGGTGTATGGTGATGTTTAAATGGAGTCCCGAGAGCCCCGGCCCCCCGCCAGGGCGGTACCTCGAAGTGGCCGCTGCGCCGGACGAACGTGCTGGAGCACACCACCATCAGGCCCACCAGGAGCTGCAGCAGGACGCCGGTCAGAGAGGCCGTGCCGCGCACCCAGCCGATCCCCGGGCGCGTAGTGAACAGGTACTCCCACAGGCCGTAGCCATCGCTGCGCTGGGACAGCACCACTGCCGCAGGGGAGACAGAGAAGACGCCGTCACGTCAGAGTCGCCGGCCGCTGCGGTGGAGGACCACGGCCTTCCTCACTCGTGTGTCTTCCTCACTCCCTTGTCCCTGGGCTCTTTGAGGGGGAGCATGGAGGTGATCTCATCACAGAAGACCTCCGCTGGCCAGAGGGGCTGACGTCCGAAATGTGGGAATACTGCTAACAGAGCTTTCAGGGTCAAAACTTCCTCTTTGGCGAATTCACACTGGGGTTCTGAGCCTGGGTCCCAGACAGTGACAAGGGGGACTAATGTAAATGTGATTTCACGGGAGAGGGAGGAGGAAATTCAAACTGTCCATGGAAAAAATGAAATCAGGTGACAAAGGTGACGCGAGTATCTTCTCAGACCAGCTTCTGCTACAAACACATACATAGATCTAAAAGTCATTTTGCATGCAACAGTATGTGTGTCATTTTGCATGTAAAAGTGGTTTATAAAGAGGAAACGAAAGTAGGGTAAACCACCATTTAACCTTACATTTTTGAAAGAGTGTGGCGTCAATTAGAAACCATCTTAACTCTTTTGGTAGCGTCTGCTGCAGATAAATGTATATTGTGGGTGGCCTTCAGCAGCTGGGCTCATAGACATGTCGGAGTAGCGATTGGGATGAAAGGAAGGTGCGCGGGGCGTCTGGATTTCATACCGAAATTCACGACGTGAGCCCCAGTGTGCACAATGGTGAGGCCAAGGATAGCGTAGCCAACCAGCTGGTGGAGCAGGATGTTCTGGTCCAGCGGGAAGATCCGCACCACCCAGGTGGCTCTGAGCCAGGTCAGGCAGCGCCGCAACATCAACACCTGCCGGGACACAAGGGGGGGGGAACTGCACACATTAACTGACACGAGGAACCCAGGCACAGGGGTACCTCGTCTCACGAACCAGGGCCAGATTTGAAAGAGGGGTACAGACACAACCCCAGCCTTGGGCGTCATGCAGGGTGCTGGCCCTCACGTGGAAATCCCAGGTTTATCCCACAGTGTTGCGAACACAGACTAAGATCCGTGTCAGGTCTTGTAGTAGACCATATGCGATGCGGTAAGAGCTGGAGAAAACAGGAGGCGTGGTAAAGGGAAACACACGGGGGTTTAATAGTGCACAAAATAATAGTGACAATCCATGAGACAGTGAGCGGGGGAGACAAAGAATAGCATCCAAATCCAAACAGGTCCAAAGGCAGGTCAGGGCACAGTCCGGGAGTCCAGCGGCGAGTGATCCATCCTGGGACACGACAAGGTTAAAATCCCCGGGAGGGGGGAACACACAGACAGACAAAACATGGAGGTCCAAGGGTGACAGGGTGAGATCCTCCAGACCCCGGGCTCAGGAAGCGGGAGGTGTCGGGGATGAGGTCTATGCCCTCAGGAAACAGCCGTAGGGTTTCCTGGTGCCAGGCGGGCCTCGCGACATTACCCTACTTACCCTAATGATGAGCCCCGAGGACTGGAGGAACTGGTCTTTAAATTATACACCTAAGAAGGTACACCTGGGGAGCTTAATCACACGGACAATAACAGGAGTAGTAGAGCGCCCTCTAGGGAGGGATGTCAGGCATGACACACAGTCACGGGTAAACTGAACAAACCCAAGAGTTTCAGGGCTGCGGGAGCCCATGCTCAGTGTTTTAGGGCTCTCTCCCCCACCCCATGTGTAGCCTGGCACTTAACTGTTATCCGAAGGTGAACGTACAAAAACATCATCCTCTTTCACTCTGCTAAATGGACAGACAAATCCCAGTAGCAGCTCAGGGAGTTGCAAAAATGAAGTTAAATCTTAAAATCCATCCAAAAGTGATGGACATTTGAACTCCTGTAAAATAAGTGTCTGACTAACGCAACTCCATTGTGGAAGCCACTATGGAAGGGGGACTAGCTGAATGGCAGAGGACACCTCTGCTCCTGCGCCTCTTCTGAACGCACTTCCAATGCCCATCCTGCCAGGGAGACATCAGGCCCGGAGTAGGAGGGCGCTGCTCCGGTGCCACTCACCATGACGAAGGTGCAGTTGAAGTTGAGACACTGCCCGCAGCCCTTGGCCACCATGATCCAGGGACCGCTGGGCTTGTACTGGAGCGCAGCAAAGGTGAATAGCAGGATATTGAGGCAGACGTAGCCACCCAGGAAGAGCAGCTTGCGGCTGTTGTTGTGCCAGTATGCCGGTGTCAGGTAGCGTGGGGTCTGGTGCTTCTTCTTTTCCAAGTCAGGGGGCTTCAGCCAGTTGGCAGCACTGCAGGTCCAGCAACACAGAGTTAATCAGTACAACAATTGCATGGCAGCTCCAGCCCACAATCTACCCTAGGCACCCTGGAGCGCAAGCATGTTGGGAAATGCTTCCACAAGCCAACGGGGCATCAACGATGAAGAAACTGTGACCTCCGTGACATATTGTCGCTACAGGCTGACCTTATGGTGAGGTTCTCCATGACCTCAGGGAAGCTCTCCAGCTCAGCCTTCAGCTCCTCGAAGGTGATGGAACCGCTGTTGTCGCGGTCAGCGGACTCAAACAGCGCCAGCGTCAGGTCGTCCAGTTTCTCTTCGGGCAACGAGATGGCACTCTCGCGCAGGCAGGACTTCAGCACGATGCGTAGCTCATCTGGGTCGATAGAGCCACTGCCTGCGGGCAGGGAAGAGCCGGCCTGTTGTAAATCTTAGCCTGAATGTCATGCAAGCAGGGACATAAGACTGCTCTTGCTGAAAGTGGCTTGAGCCATTTAGGAAACATACTGTAAACTGCTGACCTAATAATGTTCTATACTCAGATCAAAGAAAGGCCTTTTATACACAGAGGGTTATGGGGTTGTGGAACAAATGACACAGAAGTAATTGTGTTCCACGATACCAGGGAATACCCACATTCCCTGGGACCCTTCAAGAAGTACAGTAGCTGGATGAAATCCAGGGATCAATAAGCTACTACAACAAAACTTCCAAAATGTGATGAATAGATTGTTCTTTGTTGCTTTGTTTGCATTGTTACTCTACAAGTATTTCATGGTGTCTAAAAAATTGGTCACAATGACAATCATGTAGCAGTATGGCAATCATTGAATTAACCAGGTGGTCAAAAGCAGCTGTGTGGTACAGTGTTGTCTGCAGTGTTTTATAAAGATCCAGGCTGACCTGGAGTCCGTCGCCTCACCGTCAACGTCGTACACCTGGAACAGGAACCGCAGCTTGTCCGTCTCGCTGCCATGGATCAGGAGGTTCAGGGCCTTCAGCAGCTCGTCCAGGCTGATGGAGCCGCTGCCATCGGAGTCGAACAGCGCGAAAAACCTCTCGGCGAAGAAAGACTGCGCAAACACGGACACGGCGTGCCCATTCACGGCGTCAGGAAAGCGTTTCGAGGGGACTGCTTGCAATAAAGCTGTTGACTATTTATGTAAAACGTAATAGTGGGGAATCAAGGCCCAAATGCAAGATCTTGTGCAAGCCTGCCAGTGCCCTAGGGCGGGTTTGGAAGACTCTCATCCTGAACAGAGGAAGAGGTGAAAGGGATTGCTGCTGCTTCAATTAGGAACAACCTGCATGGAGCCCCTCAAACAGCCAAGTGACAGCACTCAACATTAATTTGTCCCTTATTTCTGCCTGTTCTTCTCTGCTACTAGACTGGCAGGAAAACCAAGACTCATGCACCACGCTTCAATGACATGTTTGACACCTTTGTACACAATGCCCATTTGGAAGTTTCCTTTGGCTCAGTCCTCTCTGGCGTGAAGAATTTAATTGCGTTCAGAAGCACTATTTGATTTTAGCGTCCATTATGACCTATTGCAGAAAATAAAGCAGAAACCAGGATGAAGGAAATCTACAATATTGTGACCTTGGTTGCTTAGGTCAACTCAACACGAACCATAAGCCCTTGAAACATGAACTGTCTCTGGTGTTACCAGCCATATTAGCCCAAGAATTTTCTAACCCCCCCCCCCCCCCTACACTGCTAGTCCTCCTAATGAGTCCCTATGGGTTAAGAGAGCTCAGTGCAGCACAGTGAATATGAACCAGGCAGGTTCTACACCAACTACCCTAGATAACAGAGAGGGTGTTGATATAGAACACAACGCACTGGTGGGGCTGTAAGAGCCAAAGTTACAAACTAGAAAAGAGAGATCGTTCAAAGTATCCCAAATGTTTTTAAGAAAACTTGAATTGCATTTGGTAGGAAGGGCAGACTTGCTTCTGTTAGACACAAATCTTGCCTGGCATACTTATACACACCCCTTACCTGCACAAACCCATATAAAAACATACATCTGTCCACTAAAGGAGACTAAATTCCAATAACCACAAGATCAATACTGATGAAGCAGTAAAAATATGACGTCCAAATGAGTCAAATCATTAGTCCTAATCATGTTTCTGCAGGTAAAGTTTACAAAAATTATTTACATTTGACTCACCAATGGAACAAAGAATGGTCAAAATCATCAAACACAAGTCTGGATGACCCTCTGAATGCCCGGTATGGTACCTGGGGGAAGAACTCACCTCCTTCACTTTGAGAGCGGTTTTGAACTCCTCCAAGTCAATCTCCTTGTCGTCGCCGGCGATGCTCTCGAACTGCTTGGTGACCCACTCCAGCCAGCGGGCATCGTCATCTACACTCATGGCACTGCGGGCAAGGGAAAGGCACGGCAGGGGCACTCTGGGTACAGTTAGAACTCTAATCGTCACTGCCACCTGTAGTTCGTAGACGTCTTTGGGGGTTGATAGGGCATATAAATTATTTAGCAGAAAATCGTCAAGCTATTTAAATCCATAGATCATCTGCCCCCTTTCTAATACTAGGTGATGGTTGAGGGGTGGCTGTGATCTGATGAAAACACACATGTCATTCTGTCACACAGTATTCAAGTCACACTATAAGAACAACAGCCGGTTGTCCTGTTTTCATTACGTACTGTGTGCCCAGTCACTCTGACAGCGGATGAGGAGGAGACTCAGGTACGAGGCTGAAGCTTAAATTTTTTTCATACGGTATGTCTTTATCTATTTTTAATCTCCAAGCCATCAGAAACACCTGAGAGAGCACAGCGTGAGAGAGGCACTCACATAGAGAATCCGAGCGCGGCTTGACGTTGCCATGGAGATGTCAAAAGCAGAAACTGCAAAATGCAGTTGTGAGATAATTTGATGGCACTAATTAACTGTCACACGTTAATTAAGGAGATCCTGAACCTGTCCCTTATGCTAGCTATGATACTGATCTAAAGCCTCCTTAAAACCAAACACCCCATCTTGCTGTTTAGTCTCCAGAACAAATTATGTTGTCTGAGTCCGGACCAATTTTCACATCAAACACAAGGTGATTAAAGAAATACTTCAGTATGAACAGCCAGGTAACAGGCGGACAAAAACAAAATACCTCTTGTTAGAAAGTAAAGACTTCTGATGTAACAGTTAATCTGCAGCCTCATAGATGAAAATAGTTCATAATGTTCATAAAGTTCGTACTGAAATTACTTTCAATATTTCCTGACTTCTCCCTTCTTTTAAAAATGGGTTTTACTGCACTGTTAAACCTGAATAATGCTTCGACTCTGCTGCTGAATATCCCTGTCTTAAATCCCACCACAATTCACCACATTGTGTTTAATTTCAAACTATTGACTTTATTTAAGAATAGCTTCAGAACTTTTAACTGTAAAGCATGTTTACTGGTGGGATTCATATTTTGTGTTGAAATTTGACATTGACAATGTATTTTATCTAAAACCAAAAGCAGGCTTAAACATTTTATGCTGGAAAGCACACCTGTAGACAGAATTCGTTTGGAAAGACACGTTCTTTCTGCTCTCAAATATGTTGTATGCTTGAGCCAGTTCCCCGTAGTGTCGCATTGTCGGAGTAATGCATTGTACCTGGAATTTGCTCTGGTTTACCGTATGCATGCTTTATCATACTTCCATTGTGCTCCACTGTCCCGGAATGTGCTCCTGCCAAACCAAGTCTTACAAGAGATCTAGACGTTCAGTTACCTGAGGCTGTGGCTGCGACGATACTCTGTGGTTATCCAGGAGTGTTCTCCGTTCGGCTGCAGTTTGCCGAGTCTATGGAATTGCTGCCTCCCTGGAATCATGAGAGCACAGGGTGAGGTTAGAGGTGTTCCCACCTGGCTAGTTAAAAAGAGATTATAGTCATCACGGGTCAAAGCAACTGTCCCTTCCTTGAGGCCCGGCTTTCATTGCCGACATGTAAACAAGGTTGTCCTGGAAATGGCCACTGCTAATCAAAAGAGTGCTTGAACTGATTCTCGAAGAGCCAAAACAGAAAATTAAACCCCTTTATACCACTGGGGATGTGCAAGCACCCAATAAACACACACACCATAAACAAAATTGCTTTATAAATACAAAACCGTAATACTGAAAGATATGAGAAGGGGTTCCTGACACTTGTAGCTGATGTCACAGCCAAGGACTTAAAATCTTTGAAAACAGGACAAACAAAACGTAGGTTAACAGCTTACCTGCAGTTCCTGTGCCCATAGGACACACTCTAGTTTCCTTTGGATTAATGTTCCTGTTATACTACCCTCTCAAAACAGCAGAAATCTGAATAAACACACAAAGTAGTTAACATTGAAAAAAATGGAGAAATCTTACCTGTCATTTTATATGTTCCTGTTCCTGTTTGCAATTTGCAAACATGTGGACGCGCTGCATGGTTGTGGTTTGTACAAATGCAGCTGAGCAATACAGACCAATTGAAGCAGACTAGAGCCCTGGTCAGCCCTGCACACAGGACTCCAGAGCCCAGTTGTGTATGCAGGAAGTATCACCGCTGTCATGAGCCCACCAGCCTGAGCCCAAGCAGGAGCAGATGGTGGTGACACACTCCTTGCTCTGCAGATACACACAGGAGTCGCTGGGGTCCTGTGCCATTCTGCTGCAACAGGAACAGTGGAAGAAGAAGAGAGAAAGAGGAGAGTTATACTGAGCTTTGTCACATGCTACACAAGGAGCTCTCAGCAGACATACCACAGCTGTGTCAGAACACTAAAACTGAAATCAAACCCATACATGATGGCCTGGCCTTGTGCATCATGCACAGCCTGTAGAAAAGAGTCAAAGAGTTTTGAAAACTACCTGCATTCTGTTCTGTGTAACTTTCATTCTGATATGGTCAAGCGCTGTATTATCAGCCTGTTCCAGTGGACCCAGATCATTTAGAAACCAGTGACTGTGATGCCTCTTTAAAGGAAGAGTGTTGATGGCCCCTTCACTGCTCCTCGTCTGACACAGAGTTTTGTATCATGCTGTGTGTGTCTTTCTGACTGTTCTTCACTGTCCTGGCTCTTTCAGTATCACACTTTGAAAGAATTGTATCGCTTTTTGTTGAAATGATGAAACAGCACAGCAAACCACCACTCACAAATGCAAAAAAAAAGAATGTTGGAAGTAAGGAATTGAGGAAATATGGAGCCCTTCCACTTCAAAATTAGCAGTATTGACAATTTGGGCTCAGACCCACGTGTAAGCATCTGATTGCTCACACTCTTGCATCATGTAGTTGATATTGCATAGACCACCTGCTCAGATTTGTAGGCTATAATGTGGCACAGAACTCTGGAATTATTATCGTCAAAGCGGAAGGCAAAGGCAGAGAAACTAAAAGGCGCTTTAGCTAATACCTGCCTTCGTCACTAGATGGTGCTATTAGTATTTTGTAAATATTCATGATTCATGGTGGCAGTGTTAATTGTTACATCAAAGGTATTACGTATGTTTTTGACTATTAAAAACGTTAATGGTTATAATACCTGAAAGTCCAATGTATTTACACGACCTCGCCGCAGAAATGACTTGAGATGTCAGATTATCACATAAACAGCGAACAGCAATTATTGTCTTGGAGAGACCGCTACGAATTAGAGACGAGTCCATCTCGACATTTCCTAGACCCATTAAGGGTTTAATGTTGCATTCACTCGCTCCGCCTGGGGACACATTACTGTACTAAATTGTTACACTGAAGAAGTCACCCCTAGTTTTTCTAAAGTGGCAGATATGGGTCATATCAGAGGGTTTAGTACATGCATTAGAATTTCTGTTGGAGGGGGGAACGAATGTATATATAATTAACTATTTACACAGGATTTCTTCTTTACGGGGTTGTAGGATTAACAGCGTAGTAAACTCGCCTCTTAAGGACGGATTCACAACAGAATCACTACTTTTATGCATTCATGATTATCTTGAAGTACACAGGCGACCCTGCTTATTCACATTTTCGTTTTTTATTTAACATTTTCCGCATCGTGTATTGGTATGTAAAAAACCGCCTCGGAAGCATCTGTTCCTCTTTATGGGGGGAAAAAAAACAAGACTCTCTTTCCTAAAGAATATCAAGTGTTAATTCTTCCCACTGTTGGGTTTCGTAGTCGAGAGTTTCACAGATGCAGGCGCATGTGGGTGAACGCTGTCCTCCAGCAGATGTACGTGCGTAGTGAGCAGATATTTCAGGAGCAGCGGCGGACAGGCATGGTGGCGCGTCGTACTGTTTGCGGAGCTCGCAGGGAGAGCAGCGCTGCGCACCCTGTATCACGCACTCCTCCGCTCGCAACTGCAGTGCAGGGCGGCTAGTATGACACACCCAGCGGAAAAAATGGTACTCGCCACGCAGGGAGAGACCCCCCAAAAATGGCTCCAAATAAAACTCGATAAAGGCGGGCGACAAATCCAGTCCACCGCGAAATCAGCAGCGGAAGACTCCATTTCACCAGAGCCTGCTGGAAGTCTGTTTGAAAATGTCACGAAAATGAATTCAAAACCTTATGACGTTTTATTATACCGAGAGGCAGAGAGAGTGAGACGCCATGCAATGCGTTTTTTTTTTCAAGCCAGCAAACCAAGCCGGTGCCTTTTGTGAAAACAATGAACTGCCACGCAGTTCCTCTTCTTCTCTCTTCCGTGCCTTTAAAAGCGGCAGCGGAGCTCAACACTGAAATGACCTGAATAATAGGTAATGTCAATTCATTTCTTTCGTACATTGAATTAAAATTATGATTTTTTTTATTGTTTTTAAATATGTGCTTTATTGCGGACAAGATGGCGCTGATACGGTCAGGTGACCTTGTTTTTCTCCTTGTCTTTGCATCGGGTTTTTTTTTAACCCAACGGTTGGAATGCAGCTACAGGAAGGAGCGGAAGTGAAGATTGTTTTCTTGTTCTGTTATTGGTTGGTTTGAATCTTTTTATCCCGCGAATATGTTTTATGGGGTTTTGATTGGTGTGTTGTTCTGTCAATCAATGCTATGTGGAGGGGTTTCTGAGGAGACGGCGAGGGGGCTGTATTGCCCCCCTTCCCCCACAAAAAGGTGACGTGTGTGGAAACTGAACTCCAGTGGCAGTATAGCAACAGTGTTTAATCTGGGGGAAGGTAAACGTCTTGTCATACCGTCCAAAATGTCCATTTTCTCTTATTTGTTTCTCTCATTATTACAGACGTATTTTTTTTAAAGACGAGTGCATGATTATAACTCGTGCGAGTTACAGATTTTCCTAACAAAAGAAATGTCAAGGTGCATTTAATCCATAGTCGTAAATATGAACGATGCAGTGATGTGCAATGATCTCTTCAGAGAGAGTGTTGTGACCCGAAACCGCAGAAGAATATCGATAGGATTCGACGTCTTAAATAAATGCACTTCCACGTAATTTCCACTTGTGTCCCCTGGTTCCTGTTTTCACTGCACCAGTGCTACGTCCACTCGCAGTGTCGGGGACACAGAGGTGTATTTATACCCTAAAGAAAGGCGTCTGACCTCTTTTCTGGGGGGTGTCTGGGCTGGAGGACACCGCCTGTTTATCGGTGCCTTCTAGGGCGCTATGGTCACTTGGGCTCGATGGGTCCACCGTGTTATTTTTTTCCACCGATTAAACCCAATCGTCGAACCTTTGGAAGTTGTTCACTGTAGCTCATTATGTAGAGTTTTTATTTTTACCTGCCCATTTTACTAAAACTGGCGTACATCCCACATCGTGTAGGTCCCCCGGTCAATAGCAACGGTGTAGCTTTTAGAACTACATGCTCACCTTACCCGCTGGTAACATTAACCCGAGAGATACGGTTATACCCGTCCATAAAAATTAAAACGAAGGTAGGGTGAGGCTGCGATTATGGCTCATCATCTATCCCCCCCCATTATCACATTTAAAAAAAAGTCGACTTCTTAGGCCATCTCGTCAACAGCTCGGCGACACGCTAATGGTGGCTCCAGCTCAAGGGAAAGCTAGCTTGTTCCAGTTCTGTGACATTGAGAGAAACTGATCTAATGCGGGTTGGAGGTTTGTTCCCTGGGAATTTCTCTGAATCACTTACATGTCCAGTGTAACATTGCATTACGCGTTCAGCGGATTGCAGATTTGCGAGACCCACAGACGCAGGGTAATCTTAAAACGCCAACGCGGACGAGTTTTCAGATATTCTGTCGTGGAGTTTTGTGATCTTTTCTTTCAGAGCGTATTCATTAATCGCCCCCCCCTTCTACCTTATAATAACCCCAGTGAGGAATCGGGGATTTGACCCGTACAGCCTCCACTTTATGGAAGAAAAAACGTTTGAAATTGTTTTCGGCACTGGAGTTCAGTCTCGGCAAGGGAGGAGGGCTTACAGTACAGGTGTAAGAACTGGCATTAACATGACGTTACCTGAATGCGTTCTGTAAAACATTTGCACCATAGGCCGCTGGAAAGCTTTGGAATAACTTTTTTTTTCTTCCTTTTAAGCATTTTGTTCGACTGGTCTGAAGATCAGATTTGGTTAGCGACGTGCGCTTTTTAAAAACCCCATCTTTTGTGGCTTAATTTGTGCTGCGCTGTTAACCTGCTGCTGGTCTTAGCGTCGATTTCGTGAGGTTTAAATGAATCAACAGTGCATGCTGAAAATGTAAATGTTTGGCGTAAAAAACATCTTCGATGGAGACCGTTTATACAATCGAAACGGACTGTCTGACTCAAGTACCAGCATTAGTAAGTGGGAAAGAGTTCTTACATTCGTGAAAGGGAGATTTAAAATTGAAAGGGCTGGTCTAGTTTCCGTCTGTGTACAAGCCGTTGAAAGGCGGGGTTTGGTGTAATTGTGCTTATTTAATGGTTTACGAAATACGAATTTATCAGGTGTTGCTTGATATGTAGAAACAGAGTGGTAAAGCGCGTTAATGTTATTGAATTTAATAAAGTATCTTAGGTTGTATCGATTACCCGATGAGGAAAACTTAAACGCATCGTCTAGATTCCTTACAGATTCACTGGCGATTGGCCACGTGGTGTGACAGTAGAGCTCAAAGTAGGACAGTACGTGTACAAAAAAAAAGTTCTACAAAAATCCAAAATACAAAGGTACTGTTCATTTTTATGCGAGTTTATAATACGCGACTCGGTAAATGACGCCTAAACGCGATGGCTGTTTTGTTTTAAATTGATATTGTTACGTTTCAGCATGAGCTTTATAAAGAATTCAAGATTCCTATAATATGTAGTCAGTCATGGGTGGAAAACACCTTACGCCACCCCCCGATTACCTCGTGTTAAAAGCTGATGCCCTTTGATTTCACAATTCGTATATAGCGTATCAAGAGTTCATTGAGGAGCGCTCGGTTACAGTTCAGCCAGGCTGACTCTGGCAGCGCAGGAGTAATGTTTTGACTTTTGTTTCAATAAACAACACGCTGCTTTTTCCAAAGACAAATGCGTAAAAGTAACCGCAAGCAGAATCTGTCGTCCAGTGCATACATAGGGTGTCCTGGCGTGTTTACAATACGAATTACGCCAAATTAGATCACTGTCGACTGCACTAATTAAAAATCAACAGTAAGCGACGCGTATTTATTCTAAGGTTGAATATATTTTACTTTAGATTAATCTTTTCTCCCGTGTGTATATTTGTCACACCTTAACCAGGCCAAAGTAATGGCGCTTAAACGCAGAGATGACACTTAAATGCACATTCGCACTGTCTCAACCGAACATAATCTGACTAGCCCCGCCCTGCTTGCTGATTGGCTGTAGGCAGGGAGAAGGCGGGGGAGAGGCGTCTTTGGTACATAATCGGGCGCGCCGGGTTGGTCTGTGGTGACGACAATCTGGCGACCGGCTTCCGCCCCCTTTTGAGCGATCAAGTTAGAGTGAGCGGCGGCACAGTGGCTGAGAGGTGGTAGCTGTGTGTAAAGAGCCCCGTAAGTCTAACACTCTGCTCTGGCTGGGTTACTAAATTAAAAATAACAAGAAGCTAGCTCACACAAAATGGACATGAAGAAAAGGATTCATCTAGAGCTGCGGAATCGAACGCCGTCAGACGTGAGTGCTTTTCATACATTCTTGGGATTTTTTTTCCATAGGCTTTATAAAGTACTGCCCTTGATTTTTCTGGCTGCCGAATTTGGGGTGCCCATATAAGCGCGTGCGAGTGTGAGCCCAGTAGGGAGGCAGTGGATTGAATGGGTATGTTGTCGTGGAGGTGAAAGTTCCTAAATTTCGACAGATGTGCCCGGGCTGGTGCGCTCTAGTGGGTTTTAGTAACTTTGGTCGTAGGCTGGCTGGCACGCTATGGTTATGCAGCGTAGTTACCCATGGCACGGCGCTCCTCCGCTAGCAGGCTGTGTGAGGAGCCATATTTGTAACTTTGTAGTCCTCGCGAACGCGCCCTTTTCCCTCTAATCAACAAACAATGTACACTGACAGATCTCTCGGTCCCTTTAGCTATTGCTCTCCAGTGTGATCGGCGTGCAAGTTTGACCTGGCCACTTCCGTGCGTCCGATTAATTACAGAATCGCGGGGGCTCCGCCGATTATAAAATAAATAACTTCGGATGGGACAAAAATAGTCCATCGCTGGTGCCGTGGAATCTGCTGCATAATTTTTAAAGAGGCAATGTTGAGACGAGGGGCTTTCTTGATAAGTAGCAGCTCGATTTTTATTCACGATAATCGTTGAATTAAATCGATTAGGTCACTTTTTTTTACAGTTATTACAGAAGCAACTGATTTTCTGTTTTGCCAATTTATCGAGTCGTGCTTGCTGTGAGACTCGCCAAGAGCGATACGTAAAACGTAAATATTAGGTTTTGTCGATTTTTTGAGTATTTTATATTTAAAATGTCCTTAGATACGTAATCAAAGCGGTTCAAAGACACAAGGCGATTCCCCAGTCCTTCGGAAAACGGGTATATCAAATGCAAGATATTTTCTTGTTGGTTTTAGCGGAGAGGGAGGATTGCAAGTAGCGCCCGTTGTAACGGAGTTCAGCTGGTTAATTCTCGCCGAAAGTGTCTCCGGAGTGAACCGACTGCGTGCTCGCAGTGTTGAAGCGCTGCTCCGGACTCGCTGGTGCAAACACAGCGTCGGCTGCTCGCGGCCAGTCTCGAGCTCCTCGAGGCTGCGAATGGTCGTTCCCAGCGTCGCGAGCTCGTGCGAGGCTCGGACCGCCGCCGCGGGTCGCCTCGGACCTGCGGATGACCGGGGCTGCTCGGTTGCACCGTTTTTGCCTTTTAAACGTTGAAACGTGCCTTTTGGAGACGTCTGAATCGTAATCTAGGACAAGCCGCCATTTTATCAAGCAACAATGGCAAAAATCTAAATGGAAATGAAGGTGCACCAGTAAAAACTGCCGGTTTAACGACAGTGGTAATGTGCGTCACGCGTTGCATCTGTTTTCGTGTTAACTTTGAGCTTTTTCCTAACGCAATCTGTTTTAAATGTCGCGGATAATTACAGATATATTACGATTACGCCGCCACCCCCCTCCCTCCTTTAAACGCAGAATTGCTCAGTGCACGAATCCCAGGTCTCCGTGTGTTGAGGCTTTAAACTGGATTGTAAATCGTAAGGAATGTCCCATAATCGGGGCGATACTGTACTGGGCATTGAAAGGAGGGTATCCAGCGCAAAATCCGCTGTTTAGTCAGCCATTTTGTCTGTGTGGCGTTGTCAAGTTGGCGAATGAACTGTTTATGTACATTTCCCCCCGACATAATTGGTTAGCTAAAAGCCTACGCTTAATTTCCAGGTCGGTGTATTGACAAGATTTTATCAAGATTAAGGAGCCGAAATTGCGGTGATGTTCCCTTAGACTGTACTGGTGGCTGGGAACTGTAACTTGCGTCGCTGGACGGATATGGATCGGTGGAGCTGAGCTCTGTAGTCGCCGATGGCCGGGCTGTTCTCTTAGGATGCATCTGTCGGCGTGGGTTACCCGTTCTCACCGGATTGTGACTTTCTTCGCCTTGTTGTTGTTGTTTTTTAAACCGACACGGAGTCGTACGGCGGTGTGTCGCGAGCAGGCGCGCGTTCGCCGTTCCCGGTATTGTCCGTCCTGGGGGGGCTGGCTCAGCCCGGAACATGTGCCTTTCCACCGGAGCGGGGGACGCCGTGACCGCCTGGCGCGACGCTGTTAACGTGGACTGTGCTTCAGAGCGGGAATAGGTGTCGACACGTGAGACCGCGGGGACTCCACGTGCTTGGTCGAGACGGCCGGTTGCAGGACCGCGCGGCACCGGTGGGGTGCAGTTAGAACCCGGACGTGTGCTGGGAAGAGGGGTTTGTCCACGGGCGTTCGTGTCACGGGATGGGGCTCCGAATGTGAAAGCTCCAGGAAAGAGGAGGAGAGCCCCACGCGAGTGGGCTTGTTCGACTCTCTGCACTTGGACTGCAGATAACGTGACGGTGTCGCGCGTGGTATTCACTCGTGGAGCCTTTTATGAGGAGGAGAGGAGGGGGGGTGCAGGGTCCTTTAAATGGATTCGTGTTATAATCTTTATAACGTTAAGCCAGCCTTCACAGCTGTCATGCTCCCAGGGTGGCGGCGGCGGCGGCGGTGGGGGGGGAGGGGTGAAATATTCCAATTTGGGTAGGTCTTGAGTTCACATACTGCCGGGCCAACGTCGACGTGAATGTCATTTATCTTGGTGTTCAATTGTAAAAACGTGTAATGAGAGAGAAAGGGGAAAAAAAAACAAGCTCCTTCACACCCAGCGCTGGTTTCTCGAGCTGTCAGGTTGTGCATCATAGTTGTTAGGCTGAGGCGGGCCAAGGTTTAAGCCTTTCAGACTACAATCTAAACTGTATAAGAGATGGAGAACATCTGCCTGGAGTGGTACTGCGGATAATGGTTTTCGGGGACCGGGGCAGACTCCGCGGGGCCGCTTCACTGCCGTGTGTGGGCAGGAGCGTCCGGGGCTCGCACCTTTAGCCGGCCGAGTGCCACACCTTCCCCTCCTCGTCACGCCTGGCGTGGACGGGCCGGGGGAGCTGCAGAACTCGGGTTTCAGGATGACTCCCCCCCCCCGAGCCGCGGTGCGCTGCGTGCGTCGTGCGGCTCAAGCGCTCCGGGGCGGGAAGACTCGTTCAGGGAGTATTGCAGTTCCCAGTGACCGGCATTCATTCGTGAGCCCATTAAAACTCTAATAATCAGCCCGTGGAAGCGAGTCATTTATCTTATAAGATTCTATATCGTTAATAAAAGAGAGTGGTTTGCACATTGCGTTCGCGAAACTGTTGTGTGTTTCGAGTCAACGCTGTAACCACTGTGAGGAGCTGACCTTGTGGGCTGTTTTATCGGGGGGCTCAGAATTGTAATTTTAGCCCCTTTGCATGTTGCTTCATTTGGGCGTAATTATTGCTTTCGATGTGTTGTAGTCGGGCTTTGTGCCAGATTGCAGAGGACGGTTTATGAAGCTCGGGTTGACGGGAACATGTTTTACGGGGTCCGATCTGCATTGACTTTGTTCAACAGGCGCGGGGGAATCTGACCGGGTTACGACCTTCGAAGTTGGAATTTTAATTTCTTGTTTGGTGTGGTTAATTGACGCGATTAATTTGTGTTATGTTCTTTTAAATATACTGATTGCCCCCTTTCCCATGTGAATTCTGCCCATATTTTTGGGGTTTTGTTTCTGTACGAGTTCTACTTTGTGTGTCAAGCTCGGCATCTGATATACCCAGCATGGCTGTTGCATGTCTGAAATGGCAGAGTCAGAGGTGAATACGATCCGTACCCTAGTATTAATTCCTCGTTCTGGCTCGGTGCCATTTGGAACCTACCATCTGTACTGGAGAATACTACGCTTTCATGCCAGTGTTTAATGTTTGTAAGGTCTTGCTGATGTGTGTGTCATCCTGTGCAAGCTACACTCTGTGTCAGAAGTTGAAAACAACAATGATCTGGCTCAATTTAAGCTTGCTACAGAAAACTACAGTCTGACCTATTCCAGCATTCTCTGATCACTGGGATTTGCTGTTATGTGGACTGTCACATACTCAAGATTGTAGCAGCAATAGTTCAGTAACTCAACAAATTGAGTTGCATAAATCAAGAGGTTCTGCAGAGCTGACAAGAGTAGCCAGAGATGTGCCTAACCTCACCTCTTTGCTACTGTGCATTTACAGAATCTCCGTTTATAGCAGATTAAAAGTCAAAGCTTGTATATATTTTAATCTGGAAGACAGAATCATAGGATCACACGCTTTTTACACGTGTGTTTTCTAATTCTCCCGTTTTTTTTCTCTTGCAGGTGAAAGAGCTTGTTCTAGATAACTGTCGTTCCAATGAAGGTAAAATCGAGGGCCTCACAGATGAATTCGAAGAACTGGAATTTCTAAGCACAATCAATGTAGGCTTAACATCAGTGGCAAACTTGCCTAAATTAAACAAACTTAAAAAGGTAAGGCCTCCTCTTCTGCGTCGCCGCGCGTGGTGGTCTGTTCTTCGGTGAGCGGGTTCTCGTTAAGGACACGGGTTTTGCCGTCTTCTGTTGCAGCTTGAGCTCAGTGATAACAGAATCTCAGGGGGGCTGGAGGTGTTGGCAGAGCGATGCCCGAATCTCACACATCTCAACCTCAGCGGCAACAAAATCAAAGACCTCAGCACTATAGAACCTCTGGTGAGTGACTCCTGGGGAGCCATCTGGAGCGCGCGCGCGCGCGCGTGTGTGTGTGCGTGGGGGGGGTCGTCTCTGACTTGGGGATTCTGAAGGAGTGAAGGCAGGTGTTAACATGTGGTGACGAGCGTCTCCTGTGTGGAGCGAGGGATGCTGGCAAGCTCCTTGCCGCGCATCCTTCTGTAAGGGAGGAAGGTCCGAGTTAGATGGCTGCCAGTCCGGTTGTAAAAAAAAAAGTGAGGGGTGCAAGCATAGCACAGCCGGTCGGACGCTGCCCGGACCCGTTGGATGATGAACGAGTGCCCCCCGTCTTCCTTTCACCCCCTAGAAAAAATTGGAAAACCTGAAGAGTTTAGACCTGTTCAACTGTGAGGTGACGAACCTGAATGACTACAGAGAAAACGTGTTCAAGCTGCTGCCCCAGCTGACGTACCTGGATGGCTACGACAAGGAGGACAAGGAGGCTCCCGACTCGGACACCGAGGCCTACGTGGAGGGGCTGGATGACGAGGAGGAGGATGAGGAAGGTAGGGCACTCCGCCTGCCGTGACGGCACAGTGTCGTAGAAGTGGCTGTAACAGAGCACACTGCCCCAGAATGCTGTAACAGAATGGGGAAATTACCCCAGCTCCCTATTCTCATCCGTTTGTGGAGTAGAACTATTGGCCTTGGGTAGCATTGGCATCAGGCTCTGTATCGTGCTCCTTGTGATGCTCACCTGGCGTTTCGCGGGGCAAGCACTCGGTTTCAGCGTCGCGTCCGCTTGTTGTGACGTGGAGAGAAACGCAGTCCATCCACATTATATGGTTGCGACAGAATGGCGTATCTATTCACAGCAGCGAGTGAGGCCGCAAATTCTGGCCCCTCTCCTCAAACTTTGTTTAAAGCAAGCAGGCCAGCTTCCTCTCAGTGGCTTGGATTTGAGGGTTGCGGGGTTACAGGGGAAAGGTCAAGTGTGAGAGCGGTCCAGTGGCAGCTTGGGATCTGCTTGGTCCCCCCTGCCTGTGGGTCACCTTTACTTTTGAGGACTCCAGGATGAAAGCTTTTCCCCCTCCCCCACACGTCTAAATTTTGCCCCTCGTACGTCTGCGAGTTTGGTTGTGGAGCCTGACAGAGCTGTTGAGTTGGAGGTCACTGGGACTTCTGTGTGGCTGAGGATGGGCTGGCGTCACTCTGCCGCTCCCCCGCTGGAGAACGGCAGGGGGGGGAAGGGCTGTACAAATCGAGAACACAGGACATCTTATTAGTACAGTGTTCTGTAGTCCCCATGACAAAGCGCGACACACTTAAGTCCTTGTTTGGGTGCTCGGCCGTGATGGGAATTTATACAGTTCTTTCTGCCGACATGAGCTGAGGTCTTCAGGTTAGTGTTTGCTGCAGTTGGTTGGATCATCCAGGCCTTGTGTCCTGGAGAGGTCAGAGCACAGGGGCTTGAGGTGGAGTTCTGTGTTCAAGGCTCCAGTCTCGAGCACGTTCTGCTGAAGAGAGCAGCACCTGCTGCCCTCCTCCAGCTCTACTACACAACTGAGTCAACTGCTTGCTCTATTGGCGTCGAGATCTGTTTTTATTGGCATGTGTGCTTGCGTGCTCGGAGTCTTTTAAACCATTGTCAGCTGAGATTAAATACCTAAACCACATTAACTTTAGGTGATGGGTGATGTATCGTTGGGAGGTAGGGTCAGGTCTAGATCTAGGATGAAGCACTTGTTAAAAAAAACACTGGAGTATAATGGGTGCTGTGCTGAGTTTATGGTAATGTGGTCTTTCTCTTTGCAGAGGTAGAAGAAGAGGAGTACGACGAGGAGGTGGCCCCAGGAGAGGAGGATGAGGAGGAGGGTGAAGAAGAAGAGGAGGATGAGGAGGAAGGAGAGGAGGAGGAAGAGGACATCAGTGGAGAGGAGGTGAGAGCTGGGTTTAGGCTGAAGGTGGCACATCACATGGTTTACTGCCCCCCGGTGGCCCAAGAAAGCAGGTCGGATTTGTGAAGAAATGTGATGTACCCCGAACCTCAGGGGAGACATTTGTGGTAAAGACAGGTGTGCTGCCAGCTGCTTATAGTTCTCTGCAGGTTCCGAGGGTGTTAATCAACATCAGTGGCTTTCGTCATGGATTGTCACTGTCCCTGTTTTTCCCAAGTTTGTTTGCTCAGCTTTTGCACTGATTTTCCCCCTGTTCTTTTTTTTTATTCCACTTATAATTTAACACAGTTCAGCTCAGTAACCTGGCCAGGGTTTGTCTGAGAGGAAATATAAACTTAAAGTATGTGGGACTGGTTATGTATGGCAGGATTCTTATTTTGTTTGTATTAAGGCAACATTTTAACTGCCATAACTGTTAGGAGAATGCTTTAGTTTATTTAGGAGGCAGTGTCTTGTTTAAAATCACTCTGCTTGCTCATAGACTTGATGTTGTGGTCGTTTAATTTGCACTACCAGTTCAGTAGATGCTTGTTTGGGCTTTTCAGCAAGACAGAACTGTGTAGTGATGTCCAAGCTGGATGAACAGTTTTGAACAGTTCTCTAGACACAGCTGAGAATTGGGCTTTGCGCCATGCCTGGAGAGCACACTGGGAAACTAAAGAGATCCAGCAGTCAAGACAAGTTATTGCATTGTGCAGGTCACTAGACCAGGTAGCACATTGGCAGATTAGAGTCAGTGTGCTAATATGCAGCTCACAGTAATTTTTATTTTGCATCAGTCATTCATTTACAGCCTTGCCGAATTCAATACAAGCATTTAGGGTTTGTTTGCTGAATAGTAACTCTAAATGCTTTTGTATAGGTAAACTGACTATTACAGAACTTGTCTGTTATATAGCAGGTTGTCTAGTATAATACAAGGCCATTGACCTATAGAGAAGCAGAGGGAAAGGGATATCACTGTAGGCAACATGGCAATGGTAAATTTTAACTTTCAAATCTTAAGCTATATTGAAAGTTTTCATATTTCCTAAGTATAAACCTTAGCCAGTTGGCGAGTGAGATGCATGTTTATTTAAAAAATGGGCCCAAACTTAAGGACAATGTTGTATTTGAAGTATTACATCACTTGGGTGTAGTTTCTTAATTCCAGTCTGGAGAGCATCTTAAATATATTGTCCAGGAGATCCTACGTCCATTACTCCCTTTTCATCAAATGTTTAGCTCTTGAGTTGATCACCAGCACAGTTTGAGTTTCTGAATTTTGAAAGAAGTTGGCTCTCTTGTTCCAGGAGTGCTATCTGCTCTCCTGCAGTGCAAGGTGGAACGTGTCTGTAATTGTCTGGCAGTAAGCTCTGTAAGTTGTGCTGGAGGGGAATTTTTGGGCACCTCACCAGCTGTAATCACACCTAGATAGGGCTCATACAGCTCATGTGGGCTGAGAGATAGAGTTAAATCAAGCCTGATCTCAGTACTATAGGGAGGTGTTTTAATGTGCAACATGATGTTTTCATAAAATAGTGGGGCTTACACAAACCTTCTCAACAGGCTAGTTGAAAGTTAGTGAATATTTTATAATTGGCTCATAAACAAGTGAACAACGGGAACATTGGACATCACGTTCACTGGTGCCATTAATAATAAGGTGTCCATCAAGATTACCCATTGAGTTGGGCATTCGCATTTGAAGGTGAACTCTAAGTGACCACACGTCGGTATATTTAGTTTCTGAAGGGTGGTGATTGTTTGATACAGTGGAACAGGCGCTTCTGCTGTATGTTCAGTGATGGCAAAGGCTTAATTTCACTGATCTGGCAGTGCTCCAGACGGCAAAGTACTCCGGCGCTCCATGCCAGCACAATATTGTAGGATCTGCTGGCTGGCTGTTGCTCTCTTACGCCAGTAGCTTCTCTTCTAGTTGTAATTGTTCATAGAAAGTGCAGTGGCCTAGTAGTCCTGCAAGTTGCTTTTGAACGGCGCTATCGTGACTTTCCTTTAATGCTGTAGTGAGGTGGGGAGATCTGAAGTGGAGAGAGGGGACAGTGCTCCGATGTGAACTGCTGTATTTGTGTTTTAGGAGGAGGAAGAAGAGGAGTTCAACGATGGTGTAGATGACGAAGATGAGGATGACTTTGGTAAGCTGGGTCTTAAACCTCTTCTTCCTGACTGATTTGACTAGGTTTAGTTTGGGGGAAGTTGTGGATGTCACTGTGCTTAACCTCCGCACAGCGGAGTTCCTACAGTCAGATCTCAGATAGACGGCCTCCTTTTCATTGCAATGTAAAACCCCCCCTGTGATGTCAAGTGTCTGCTGCACTGGCACTGTGGAGTTGAAGCTGTAAACAGTAATGACAGAAGGGGGTGGTGGGCTGGTGGACAGGTTGGCTCGGGTGCGAGACAGTTTGGGGAAACTCAAAGGCTGAGGTCTGTGTTTTTTCTTCCTTTACAGAAGAGGAGCGGGGACAGAAGAGGAAAAGAGAGCCAGAAGACGAAGGAGAAGAAGAGGATTAAAAATACTTTCCACCCCTGTTGTGATCTGACTGTTTTTGCCCTGTATTTCCCTGTACAATTTTCTCAGTCGTCCTGTGGCCGTGGGAATAGGAGATTTGATCCCGGGGAGGGGGGAGGTGGGGGGGGTGCAAGTTGAATTTTATTTTATTTTTATTGTCACGCCCCTTTCTCAATTTCTCCTTTGCTCTGATGTTTCCTTGAATCTGTGAGAGAGAGAGCAGTAGTAATATTTTCTAAATGGAGTGGACAGTGCAGCCCTTGTAAAGACGTATTTCCTGTTTATTAATGCCTAAATGTGTATACAGGTTGCTGATGACTTGTGTATTTAAAAAAAAAAGAAAAAACATACCAAAAACCTTTTATTAGAGTGCATGTCTGAGTATATTTTAATGTTTGACTACTGGTTTTCAGAAATCACCTATACCTATTTTTTTTCTTTTACAGTGTAAAATGTGCTTCTGTGATGTCATCAGTATGTTGTATGTACTGTTTAGGCATGGAAAAGAATGCATCATTCTGTCGACTAGAACATGCACAAAAATCACATTTTAGTAGTGGTTTTTCTGTATGTCCTATACTAGAATACATTATGTCTGCCACTATCAGAAAATTAAAAAATGCATTTTTTTTCCTGCTTGGATAGCTTCGGTATTTTGTTTTTGTAAATAGTGACCAAATATTTTTTTGCATTAGGCTTCATTTTTGATAATGGCAGACATCTTCATGAAATAATTTCAATTGTAACATTGAACTGTAATAAAATATGAAGTTTAAAATACCCGTGTACTACTTTGGCCTGTAAACAACAGTAACTATGGTTTGGAGTAGATGGAATCTGTGAATTTTCTTATGATAGTTTTTAACTTTCTTTTTAAATGCAGAGTGCAGAGGCAGACTTACTGAGCATGACCTGATATTTGGGCTTGTTTTCTTACATTCAGTGGCATATTACTAATGCAAAATTGTATTTTCTTACGTAGCAGTCAGTGATTGACTGAAAATGCCTCATGAATGTAATAGATTACTTTCATTTCCCTTATCAACAGTTTGAGTGATTTTGTTTTTCCTTTTCTGTATGTCATCTGTACAAAGGCAAACATTTGAAAAAAACTCTTAAGAGCCAGACTTTTGTTTTGTCCTTTTTTTGTCATTCAACAATTTCAATAAATCTTTTTTTATAACGTTTTGTGGGTTATTTGACTGGAATGGGCCACTGAGATGTAGAGCCGATGGCAGGATGTCCCAAGTGAGATCGTGGCAGGTCTCAGTTGCAGAACTGGGATTAAACCTGAGCCGTTTGATTCCTCGGAGCCACATTTGCCCAAGCACAGCTTGCACTGAGTAAGCAGCACAAGCGAAATCATTGCTAGTCAGAGCATTTCAATGCTTCCTCTTTCTAGCACTTTGCTTTTAAGCATGAGAGTGAAGATGTGCAGCTTTTCATCTTGATTCCCTCAAACTCAAGTCCCTCTTTAGTGGCCTTCTTATCCATCAGTGGTGTCTGTGAGCAGTAAATAAGAGGTGGGGCACATTTCGCAGCAGGGCAGGCAAATGAGCCCAAAATGGGAATTTATTCAACGTGAATACACCAGAAAATGTACTTTTTTTTGCCTTTTAACCTGGGATGAACTGCAAGTTGGGGGGAATGATGATTTTTGGGCACATGTCCTTGGACTTTACTTGTATACCTAGTATTAAAAACTGGTTCTAAAATCAAGTTGCTTTGCTAATCTAAGTCTGACAGTCTCCTTGTAGCAGGTGCAGTGATGTTTTATTGCACGTTGATCTGCATAATAAACTCATATATCACCTTAGTCACCAGCAAAGAATTACCGCTGAAGTCACAGATGAACAGTAGGTGGCCACTGTTGTAAATACATCCAAGCAGTACATCTGACATACTTTGCACCAGGTTCCAAATGCTGTGTTTTGGGATTTGGTCACATTCCTCTTGTACAGCCTAAACGAGCATGTACTTGTTCACTGTTCACTGGTCTTGTGAGCCCTCAATGCCACACGTCCCACAGCAACTCGGGTCTGGCAAGCAGGGCGTAAGTGGCGCCTGCCAAGAAACCCTCTGTTACACGAGCAGCTGGAAGATGGGTGCCGTCCCATCACCACGTCATGCAGGAAACGCAGCAAGTGAGGCTCTGCAGTCAGGCTGCTGTCCATCAATACGCTCAATAGCTCCACTGATGATGCACTCCTGCCCAGACCAGCATGCCCGGACAGTCCCTGGGGACTGGTTTATTGTGCACAACAGTTGGCATGTAATTCCTCATGTCTGCATCACTCTCGCTGACCTCCATCACAGTGGACAAAGCACAAACCTTGATTCGCCCCCCCCCAAGAGGATTTGGATCCAGTGCTGCCGAGTCCACCTGAAGGTGATCCAGCATACTGGCTGCAGGTAAATCCCTCTGCACTTCACCTGGCTTGCCTCACCTTATTACCACAGCCCAGACCCCTCTCCCACCAGGACTCCAGGGATTCACAGGCAAGAGCGATCAGTCCAGCGAAATCAGCCCAAAACGTCTAATCAATATCCTAAAAAAAATGAGTATGCCTCATCCTCCTGAAAACATGAAGACCAAAGGGTTTCTGCTGATGCTTAGTATAACAGTGGCACCTTTTCACTGTGACACCTGAAACACTGGTTCAGTGTTTTGTTCCATCTTTAAGTGTTTGACACAATTAGGCCACTCCAACACCATCTCTTGTCGAAAACAAAATCTTGCTGAAGAACAAAAAATAAGTTTGGCAGTTTCCTCCGAGGGATATACGTTTTTGGAAGGTTTTGAGAGGTTGAGTTCAGAGGCCACCCACCAGTGTGAAACCAGTACTTTTTCTTAATGCAATTTCAATTTGTACATAATGCCAAAACAATGGAACCAGAGAGTAATGAGTGTGGAGCGTTCTCTCTCTATATACACCGAATGTAAACGTTACTTTTCTTTGTGTGTGATAGAAACGAAACGAGCACACTCACATCATGGGGGACGATCAGCTTCCCTCCTTAATCGTTCCTGCTGTGGCGATTAGATTTGACGAGTCCTGAGCAGGGAAATTTCCGACAAGCACGTCTTCTGTGCTGAATCCCCTAATTGTAAATTTGCGGAGTTCTCTCACTGCTGCTGTATCGTGACCCCAACTGTCTGACGCACCCCTTTAATTAACTCCCGGGTCACCTGTGTTAGTTCTCAAATTAAGCAGGCCAACACTGTCAGACGTCACAGGAGTTATTGCAAACTGTGACAAAAGGAATCAGATTAACTCGACGTTTTTGAGTAAACGTACTAAACTGTTACGCTTTATAGAGTGTTTATTAAGAATGTTTGGAGCCTCTCTTCTGGTTTCTGAGCGGGTGTAGCGATGTTTTGCTTCAAAATGGGAAATCGCCACATAACCCCTAATGTTTCATTAACCACTGCTTTAATAATATCATAACCCTTCGTATGCTCCGTTTGAGTTTCTTTTCCATTCGTGTTATAAATTAAGGGGCGGTGAAACTTCTAGATTAACGTTCATAAAACGAAAGACGAAGGGCAAAGAGGGGGAAAAGTCGTTTTGTTTTCACGCTGCTAAACCACCAGAGGCTCGGGAATTGACACACTCCGATGAACAAATAGTCTAGCCTGCTTCTCACAAAAGATATATAAATATATGTATAAATGAAGAACTATTAAGTATTTTTATGAGTTGTTTTCCTTTCAATTATGAAATGTTAGAAAACTCAAAGCCGTGACGTGCTACAATATGAGTGTTCAACATGCTTAAAATAAGACCTACAGCCCAAGGACGAGCCTGAGGTATCGCTGTTAAAAGAACGATTGGTATGTTTGGAAAAGATGTTACTGCAATTACGCGAGTAATAAGTCTTAATAGGCGAGAAAATGGAGGCTTGCCGGAGGATAGGAGTTGCAGACGCTTTTTGGGTAAGGAAGGAAAGCCCGCCACCTGCTGGCCACTCGCGTGACGAGCATTTCAGTATTTCTGGGGCGCAAAGGTGTCCAAAGAGCCCTAAACCAAAATAAAATGACGTCATGAAAATAGGGCACATAATATCATCATCTGCTTTAATGTCGACGGGCTAGCCGTCAAAAGTCGGTGCTAAATGTGCTGAAAAGGCTTTTATTCTTTTCCAATTTAAAGTAAAAAGCTATCAAGTAAGATTTATTCTTAATCACATTTTAAAAATCTGCAACACAGTTATTTCACTTTATATGTATTAGAACACTATTCCAAAAAAGAGCTTACAACTTGCAATACAGTGAAGGTTTGCTAGTTCCTGTGTAATACATGACTTTTTAAAATTAAACTCCACATTCATTAGTGCTTTGAAAATGCTCACAAAAAAGTCACTGCAAAAAGATTTTTACCCATACATGTGGAGAGAGTGGGGCTCAGATTGTTGATGAAGTGGTATGTTTTCATTCACAGCTGTACCAGTGGTGTACATAATGAGCCATAAACACCGCCTTTGACACCACAGGAGATGAATACATCAGGCCTCTTCAGTGTCATTTTGCTTATGTTTTGAAGGGGTGTATGAAGTGGAATAGGATTCTTTCCTTGTTAAAAGTGATAAATCTGCTTGATCTCCGATTAAGCGAGATTTTCTGAACATGACCATGGATTTGCTGTGCAGCTTGTGTCTGTGAGTCTAGCCTGTGGATAGTCCAATGCAGTGTAGAATTCGCCTCCAACTGGGTCTAATTATTCAGCTGCTCGTCAACTGGCTCGATCTAGCAGTGAAGGTGCTTTGCAGAGGAGTATATTGGAAGGGCCACAGGAGGTGTCTCAGTTATTCACAAAGCATCCGGTCGAGCCTGGTCCTGCCCTGTGCATCAGCACTCGGGAGCTTCTGGGCTGGTTCTGTTCTGCCACTGCAGTTCCCACTGCGGGTGAACGCTGGGGCATGAGGTAATCTCAGATTGAATTCCTCTGCAAGGCCAGTCTTGTGTTCCCGCCAGCAGACACCCGATCTTTAACAGAAAAAAACAACACTGTGTGGAGGAGCACATGAGAGACAGATGAGGTTCATCACCCGTTGTAGCGACGGCGATTTTGCAGTGATTTCATGGGGTGCAGTAAGGTAGCATCAGCCATGGGGAAATCCCCTTTATTTTTGCGTGCTCACGCTTGAGATGTGCACTGCTGTGTCCTGCTGGTTTCATTTGCAAACCAGATTGATATATTAACCCCATGGCACTGTATACACACAGAGCCACATTTCTACACCCTCAAATAAAGCTGAAATTCTCCAGTCATACCCCCAGCACTTAGGTATTGGTAAAGTCCAGCCTTCATAAAAAGAATATTGTTTGCATTTGTATAAGGCGTTTCATCCTAGGAGATCAAAAGCGCTTCACATATAGAAGGGCCACCTCATTTATCATTGATATGGAAGTAGCCATCATCTGGGTAGCATGTGGCAGAGATTATGTGCCAGCAACTTGTGTGGCTGGGTCTCCCCCATCCTGTGCTTGGTTTTGTGATGCATGCAAACTGTCTTTGTATCACCACTGCTGCTAGATTAACTGCAAAAGATATAAGCTGGTATCTTGTAACATTACCTCAGAAACTGGAACCCCCACTTCACTTGGGCACCCTCAGCAGTGTGTTCTCCGTGGTTAACCTGAATCCCCTGCCCTGGAGGAGGAGAGTGAATATCCATCTCTTGCCGTGGAAGTGCTTGTGGCTCTGTTATAACCACACACTGAGTAAAGGAGGTCTTCAGCCCTGGTTCATAATTCATGCATCCTGAACTTAACATGACTTTGGCATGTTCCAGGGGACTTCTCGTTGGTCCGCCTGTTAGCAGTTGTGCACAAACGCTCAGTCCCCCTAAGTGATGTGTGGTCTGGTATGATGCAGGATCACGAGAACATAACTACATAGCTTCAAAGGAGAGGGGGTTTAGACCAGTGCCATTGTCCAGTTAGAGGAGGCCATAACCCTGACATTACTGTTCACATGAAAGAGTAGAAGCAGGCTGTGGTGTTCCCTTTCCTTTGCTCCCCGGAGAGATGACACCCCATCACACCTGCTCTGGGTGGTTCAATATTTCATCTGTACAATATCCTGAAAATAAAAACTCCAGAGACCACAGTTGTTTTTGTT